ATCATAAATCCAGCCTGAATGTTAATTTTGCTTCATTTCATCGATTTTATCTAAAATTTCATTATATTGACATGAAACTGTTTGGCCTATTCGATCCTGACGAATAATATCTAAAGTTTCACTTGAAAACGCTATGTCTTGATCTATTCGGTGAGCAAAACGTTCCCCTTGTACAATCCGATACATATGGGCTATGAGAACTATCTTTGTTTTTAACTCCTCCTAATCATGCTAATTCCCTTCTATAAACATCACTAATTTGGTCTTCTACATTCTCGAAAGTGATTAAGGGATCTTCTCGATAAGGATAAGTTTCTGGAATAATAGCAAGATGATTTACACATAAGCCTTGATCAGAAATTCTTCTAGTTTCTACTATCCTTTTTGAAGTAGGATCATCTATCCTTCGAAATATAATTTTTTCTTCTTCAGGCTTAGACTCATTATCAGATTCTGATTCAGTGTCAGTTGATTCACCTTCATCGGCGGTCTCATAGTTGCTCTTCCCATCTGACTCTACCTCTGGCTCTACTTCTGGTACTGGTGACTCAGAAGGCTTGGGTAACTCGGGTGGCGTCAGATCTCCCCAAAAATTTCCAAATAATTGCTCTAGTACACTAGTGATACTACCTAGTATTCCACTCATTTTTTCTCAAAGAGTATATATGGTTACAAAAAGGTTAAAATAAAAATTAATTTATTTAGATAATTAGAGTTACATATTTATTCAAAAAGAAAAGACTATTGGAATGGGATTTTATAAATGTCCATATATTTTTAGGACTGGAGAAGTGTACAATGAGGGGTGCTATCGGCCAGAAAGATGTAAAGTCCATTGGAAATCTCCTAGACGAATTCTATGTAATGAATGCGGAAAATTGACTTCTTCTATTTATAGTGCTTGTAGAAAACATGCAGAAAAATATCGTATTTGAGAATTTTATCAGTAATGGAAGCTTGTAAAAATTCAGGCTAGTGGGGCTAGTAACAGGAATACAATATGTATGCATTTATATCACTTGATTTTTTTCATGTTTTGGATACATGCTCCGCTTTGCTCTGCAACTATACAATCATATCTTGGGTACATACTCCACTTCGCTTCGCAGAGTGTGAACACTATTTGCTTTCATATCTTATGTACATGCTATAGGGAGGCAATATGATTATAATATATGCAAAAAATTTATGTTATTCAGGTTGAAAGCCAGACGGGTTTCAGATAGGAATGTATCAAAGTGAAAATTTATTTTTACATATAAGAAACTAATGTTTACAGAGCGAATAACAATCAGGAAAGCAAAATGATTTCCTTAAGGTCACGTGTAAATTTACAATGGGATTACGTTATGAGATTAATTTTTGATACCCAGGATGATCACCTGGGAGCATTTAGGTTTTTTGTGCCAAAAAGCCTAAAATATATCTATTTATCATATATTAACTGACCAATCAAATTAACAGTCATGTGATTACATAAAATTTTTAAATTTAGAATATGTAATTCCAGTCACTTTGTGGCTTAATTTCTTCAGCATTAATAAAATTAAATGATTAACTCAACTTATTTATTAGCTCAAAAATATTGATTAACTTGATAATTAGACTCAAAATATTAGATTTTCTTTATTGCAAACAATTTTTATTTATATATATGAAATAAAAATAAAAATTTTACAGCTCTAGAAATAAATTTTTTGCATTTTCTAATAAATTATCCATTATTGCTGTATTATTCATTGCTTCTTTTAAATTGCTTAAATTATTGTTAACTGTATTTTCATCATCTTCAAAAAGTTCACCTTTAACTAATTCTTTTGTCAAGCTTGTTATCAATACATTGACATTCTTTTTAACCTCACTTTGAAGATAACTTAAACATATCAAACACTTAAACTGAATTTTTTGTAAGCAAAGATTATGGTAACCATGACCACATGCCAGAATGCTACTATCAAGTGAATTGTCATCGCAGTATATATAATTATATAAAGTGAAAGTATCGGGTTTCTTACAAATAACAAACTTCTTAAAAGATATCAATCTGTTATCTTGTAGTTTAATGAAAGAAGTTTATAAGTATTAATACCGTCAGATGAAGATTTAATAATTAAAGGATACTGATCATGTGTTTGATATATTTTTGTGAATATATTTAAGAGCAATATAGCACACTTTTAGAAAGCATATGTAATTGCTTTAGCATATACAGATATTTCACTGAATTTACAAAATATTAGCGAAAAGCATTATCTTCTTAATGCTGAAAAATAAAATGCACCTCCTTCTGTAATTGTTCAGTTATAGAAAACTTAGCAATACATCATCGAATAATATTGTAAATAAGTTCTACAGAGCAGTCACTTATTGAGGCAAAATAGTTAGTAATCATTTTAATTATCAGATGATTAGTCTCCATCCAATAAAAAATATTAGAGAAAAACATCAAAAGAGCATGCTTATAATCCTTCGATCAAATCAAAAAAAAGAGATTGCTTCAGCAACATATATAAGCTTCTTTATAGGCTAGCCAATTTCCTTCTCAATGGTGTACTGCATAAACTTTAAGGACTAAAAGAATCAAGTTGCTTAATAGATCAGTTAAATATAAATATTCTAAATTCTTGCATGTACGATCAAACTTTGAATAAATAGCATTAATTATTTTAAACTATAACATGCATACAATATAGAGAATTAAATCAATTCTTCACGGTCGTAGCTTTTTACCAATATTCTTACGTGCTCTGAATATACTTTTATAAATATCATTAAAAAAATGAATTTTCAAAAAAATGAGTTCACAAGCATTTAAAGACATGTGAAAGGGACCCATAATAGGTAAAAATAAAGAAATAAATGAGAGAATGACTTTGTTATTGACAAGGAGCTGTTGAACAATAGTTTTTTGAATATAAAGCTGACTAGGCCAGTCCTTAACAATAGGAATTATATGATTAGTAAGGTAATCTTGCATCATTTCTTGATTGTATACAATTTGAAGGGCTTTTATATATTCTTCCATGCTTTTCAAATTACTTTCAACAAAATTAATAAGAATAGCATTCTGTATATATTGTTTACTCTTTTTCTTCTCTAACCTATCATTATAGCTGTATAATGTTAACCTATTTATGAGCTCATCATCAGAGCTTTCTTTTTCTACATAATTCTGTATATGACTGTAGGAAATTTTAAGATTTATGATAAATCACTCATCAAGATGCCTTTCAATGAATTCATTATCAACTACAATAGCAATCATAAGTATCTGACCGCTAATATTTTCTAAAATCAAGTAATAACATCCATTAAAATTTTCCAAAATTTAAGTTCAATATCAATGTTGATCACATGTAAAATTATAGATTTGTATTATATATAATTTAGAAGTTAGATGATCAGTAGATTTTTTATTTCAAAAAAATGACATTTTTATTAATTAATACCTAAACTCCTTAAATATATAGAATTTTTTTTAATATATTAATTGTTTAGGAGTTATTACATATTTTTTATAGAATTTTAGATAGATTACATAATTAGTTAGAGAACTTCAATAATACTGTATTCTTCTTTTTAATTTTTAAATAATATTTGTATTTATTAACTTTTTACCAAATTTACTATAAGTTATCTTTTCTAAAATATTTATAGATATAAGCCAAAAAGTCACTTTTATAAAAATTATATGTAAAATTAACATTAGGTTTTTGCTGAAAGAAAATTGGTTTATCAAATCGCAAATCTAAAAATCACTATAATATGAATATTTTAGCAAATATTATAACTTTGTTTACTTTATTTAAATGATATTTTTAACTATAATAAACATTATAATTTTATTACAATAGATATAAAGTAGCTATATTTTTGAAATTCCATTTCAATCATTATTGAAATTTATATAAAAAAAACTATTTTGTTTAATTTATTAAAAAATATTGGTATTTTACATGCAAAATTTATCAATCATCTATTTTTTTATTTATATATTATATAAGCTTATAATTTTACGTATGATCAATATTGGTATTATACTTGAATTTTAAAAAATTTTAATGGATATTATTAATTAACTTTAAGAATTATAAGGGTCAGATACTTATGACTGCTACTGTATCTTTAGATTGATTACTCTATTTCATAGTATTGCTAGTGTGGAATATAGAATTACTACGATCGTTACCATGTGTGTCATCTAAGACATATCTATAGTATCAGATTATCTTTAAATAAGAATATTATGATAATTGTTAATATTCAATACTAACATATTTTTCGAATATTTTATAAAAGCATTCTTTACATATTCTTCATGTGTATCTGACATCTTTTTCTTCCTACAATCTACAGCTCTTGCTATTATAATTATGCTAATATTTGCCAGTGTATTCAAGCCCTCATTACTCATATCTACTGAATCTAAATAATGTGTAAGATCAAACTTAAAGCAATTAATTTTTGTGTTATTTAATAAAGCAAGAAGGTAGCAAATGAATACCATCAATTTTTTCATATGATTTATCATTTGCTTGTTGTGTTTAAATGATTGAGCTGCTAAATATAGTTGATCAAAGAAATCCTTTAAGCTCAGGTTAATTTCTTGAAATAATTTTCATATTTCATCAAATGCATATATAGGACCTTCTTCTTTTACATGTTCTCTCTCATAAAGGATTTTGCCATCACCTTGATAGCTCCAATAAGATCAACCTTTATATCTTCTGTATTCACAGTGTTTTTGTTCATAGCTTCATCTGTAATTTTTACTTCTTATGCCTCTTTTTAAGGAATTTTCTAGAAAACACATATAACTAACATTACATAAAAGAACACCTTCCCTTTATGTTACCTTCACTAAATCATTATTTTCAGTTTTTTTCCATTTCTCTCCCTTCAATGAGTGAAATTTAGTCAAATTAGTAGTTTGGCCTTTGTCAATACCTTTTGCATCTAGCTTATCTAATACCCCACCTGATTTACTTACATCAGAAATTATGAGTGTAACAGAAGCTGAAATGAGAGCTATTTTTCAAGAAGTTTTTGAAAATAATAAAGCACATTTAACAGATATTAGTGAATGATTTCAATTAGCTCAAAGAAGAGAAAAATCTATAATTAAAATTGACTAATTCTTAGAAGCTGAAAATGAAGACCCTGTGGAGTAGCTTGCTACCTTTAAAGAGCTACAACTACTAACAGATAGATCACTGAAACACAAAAAAAGACTATTACTGAAGAATACCTTAAAGGTGTAACTGCTGATTAGTTTAATAGTATAACTGCTGCTATAAGAGATAGCTGAAATACTAGAGCAAATAGAGAACAAAACTTTGTAGATATATTTTAAGCTCAATTTATTAGTAAAACTAAGAAAAATCAATGGTATCAAGAATTGACGTTCTTGCAGCAACAAACAGATAAATCTATAGATTCTTATACTAATAAATTCAAGAAATTAGTGACTTGTATAAGATTAACTGATAATGCATAAAAGAAAAAAATGTTTCTGATAGGACTTAATCCTGCTTATACCCTATTAGTTTACTCTCAAAATCTAGTTGATTTGAATGCTACTATAATCTCTGCTTGAACTATCTAAATTGGATACAATTTTATCTATAGGAAAGTATCCAAGAATATTAGCATTACTATAGTTTCTACTTCTAAAAATATAGTTACCAACATTGAAGTAGATGAATTCACTAAGAAATTGGAACTACCGTCTATTAACTATATCAATTTGATGACTACTTTGTTAGCTCAACAACCCCTAAGGAGATGAAATAAGTGAACTTATAATAATACTATTAGAAGATCTAGATAAAATATGCCTCCTATTAGAGGTATGCTTCAGTGAAATCCATTCAATCCATCATCTAATCTGATCAAAAAATAGATTATTCAGACTATAAATGAATGGATTATGGATAATCTGAATGGATCCATCAAATAATATCAGATTGATTAAACGTTATGTATATGATCAGATTGATCAGATAATCTGGTCATTTTATTTTATTTTTTTTTCAAAAAAAAACTTATCTTTTTTTCATTAAGATCGAATATAAACATAGACTTAGACTTCAAAATTTACTTAAATGGCTTGGATTAAAAGATATGTTAGAATGGGAGGTAAATTCAATTTTTTTTTGAAATGTTACTAATATTCCTTTCTTTTTTTTTTTAGAAGACACCTTCTTAGACCTGAATTTCAGCTTGAATCATGAAGATAAGTTAGATGTAAGTTTTTTTTATTTTTCTTTGTCTTTCTTTATCTTTAGAATGCTATTAATGTTACTTTTGCTTCTTTTCTTTAGAGAATACCTTTCTGGACTTGGATTTTGGCTTGGACTATGAAGATAAGTGATATAGGAATATTGTTTTTGTTTCTTCTTTATCTTTAGAATACCATTAACATTTCTTTTGCTGCTTTTCTTATGAAATTTTTTGTTTTTTTTTGTCTTTGAAATGCTATTAACATTCCTTTTGCTTCTTTTCTTTAGAGAATGCCTTCCTAGACTGTAATTTCAGCTTGGGCTATGAAGGTAAGGTAGTGTAGAGAATTGTTTTTTATCTTTAAAATGCTATTAACGTTCCTTTTACTGCTTTTTTTGTGAGATTTTTTATTTTTCTTTATCTTTGGAATGCTATTAACATTCTTTTTGCTTCTTTTTTTTAGGATACGCTACCTGGACCTAGATTTTAGCTTGGGTCATAAAGGTAAGTAGTAGTGGATTTTTTGTTTTCTTTTTTATTTTTAGAACATTATTACCAGTTCTTTTACTTATTTTCTTTAGGGAATACCTTTCTGGATCTGAATTTCAACTTAGGCTATAAAAGATTAGTTAGGAGGGTATTTTTTTCATTTTTCATTTATTTATCTTTAAAAATTATTTACATTTCTTTTCTTTTTTTCTTTGAGATACTTTCCTGAATCTGGATTTTAGCTTGAATTTTGGGAAGAAAAATTTTATTTATTTATTTTTTATTTAAAACTTTTGCTTCTTTTTTAAAAAATAGAAATCTTTAAAATTATGAGTTTAGGTTTACAATAAGTTTTATAATATTTTAATAAAATAACAATTTATTTATATATAATAAATTATACAAATGATTGATTTAAAATATAAATAATTATTCATAAATACTTTTAACTTTAATTGCATTTCTTTTTAAAAACATTATACGTCAAAAAAGTTCTGAATTCATTCTAGATCTTTTTGCTAAAAGTAAATTTTCTGCATCAGAAAATAACCTTTCTGATAGTGTTGATATTACAGGAATAGCTAAATGAATTCTTGCCATTTTAGCAAGAATTGGATACTTATTTTTATTATTTAACTACTAATTAAATGAACATTGATTAAAAGTAGTGTTTCGCATAGATTCGGATTGATCTGAATCTGATCTATCAGATTCAGATCGGATTCAGATCAGATCTGTCAAATTCAGATCAGATTCAGATTTAGATTCAGATTAGACCTGATCTGTCAGATTCAGATTCAGATTTGATCTGTCAAATTCAGATTTGGATTCAGATCTGATTCATCAGATTCAGATTCAGATTCGAATCCTAAATTGATTATCAAATATTAAATTGATAATCTTTTTTTGCCTTTGTAAAGCTTCTTTCTTCAGAACTAAACCGAAGAAAGCAAGCTTTACCAACTTTGGCTGTGTGTAAGAATTTTTTTTAATATTTTTTTTTTTAATATATATTTTTTTTTAATGTTTTAATTTATTTAGGTTTCGTGTTTAATTAATTGAGTGAGTAGTAAGGTGTAGGCAGTGGGGACAGTGAAGGGCAGTAGGTGGTGGGAGTGGTGGAGGACAGTGGAAGGAAGTGAAAAATGGTGAGGTAGTAGGTAAAATGAAAGGAGGGAATTGCTGTGTATAAATTGGGAATTATTTATTAATATTTACTTTTTATATTTTAGGATTGGTTGGAATTTTGGGCATTATTTGTTTGTTACTTTTCGCATATAATCCAAAGCCTTCTTTAAGACTCCATATACCAAGCGATCAATTTTAGCTTTTAGAAATCTTTCTTACTCAGATTCCTAATTGGGTTCAGCCAATTTCGTTAAGGGTTCATTTAGTTATTAGTGACTGTATCGGTAAGTTTTTTAATTTATTTTTTTATTTATTTATTTATTTATTTATTTTTCTTTATATTTATTATTAATTGTTTTTTATAGAAATATTTAGGTGATTTTGCAGTAAAGAATCAGGTTTAATTTATTAATTTTTTTATTATTTATTTAAATTTAATATTTAATTTTTAATTTTTTTTTTGGTAGATTATTACTTACGCTTGTGGCTGCTATGTATG